TTCTCCCCGTCTGCCGTTCACCACACAAAAATGTGCGTAATAAAAAAGTGTTTTCTGAAAACTTCCGATTGTGCAACAACAGATAAGCCCGATCCCAAACAAGGTTACTTTGATAACTTCCCACTGGGGCCAATAGACATACTATAATGAAAGAAGACGATCAATATCGGAAGTGTAAGTGTCAAAAATAACAGGTAATCAATCTATAGCTTATTCTCCTGATATTTAGCTTCGGAATGTTGTGTCCCGCCACGCTGATTGATGGAGTAGTTTATAATGTCTGACGTTTTGCTGTGAATGCAAAGAGAAAGAATTTCTTTCATTTACCTGGTTGTCTATCCCTCACTCGAAGTAGCCCGGGTGGGTTAATTTGTAAGATTACTAATAATGTATGACCCTTGAATTCTTGTATTTCACTCTTTTCTCTACCGCCTAAATGTTCGAGGGTACAGAAGTTTTCGATTGGGAACACTTCCTGGTCTTATATAGTTGTGATGAATGGAACTGTTTAACTAAAACCAGTGAATTTTTATGAAATGTTTACATTTGGGAAGTAAAACTTATCATCAATCTCAAACAGCGATGGTTGTCTCTAAATTCTATGAGCAACGGAAAGATTTGGGATGGCCGACTAACAGCACTGTACAATTGTTGTTTCGCCCTGTTTGGGACACATCAGCAGTGCATACCTTTTGCATCCTGTCAGCAGTCGAACCGCAAACACACAGGTCGGGAATCGAAAACCCTACCTCTGAGCTACATAATCGACGGCCACTGGTTTGTGCGAATGTCTTAAGTCATTGGGAGTAGTCAATTTGGAAAAATCCATTGTTCGATTGTTCACAGGCACCAAGTCTTAGTTGTTAGTTTCACCTCGAGAACCATCAACTGTATCAGGTGCCTGTGAATGGACTATTCCAAATTTACTACTCTTAACTTTGAAGTCATTTCCTCGAATGGCACCGCGTGTCTGAGCTTCCCCAAGCCAATATTTTATAGGTCACATCCCTCCCCTACTACTTGAAATGAGTCTGTACCATAGCTCGTTTAATAAACGTGAGACGCTCACATGTAACCAGTCATGCATGCGCGTCAAAATGCTGCTCAATCGATTCATTATGTGTGAACACACGGTACTCGACCTGGATCCAGTCGTGGCACGACACAGTAAAACATGAATAAGAATAAACCAACAGCTGGAATCACACTTTGTCGAACCAAACTTGCTGACTTCAAACGGATAGCCAAAATGTTCCCCTCCCTCAGACTTGTTTGTGCACACACACACACTTACGGGGTGCGCTAGCCAAAACCCGTGATTTTCTAAACAACAACAAAAAAACTCGTCTCGAAAAACAGCACTGCGTTTTGTGGAGATCAAAGTTCAAAGAAGATCGGTATCCAATCCCTATTAGGAGCTTTGTAATTAGGGGTACCCAGCTCCCCTTATTGGGCTCTGTGCGTTGATTTATCCTTTACAATTTTCCCATTTTATAACAAATTATTCATGGCATTTACTTTGGGATTACATACGTGTTTCACTCGATAGGCCTAACTCCCGTGACGGTCATATGTTTTCAGCCCTCAATCTTTTACAAAAACTGAATTTTGCAAGCAATCTTACCTAGCCTAGGGAAGAAATGTTCACGAAGTTAGACAGTACACATGTCCAAAATGTGTCTCAGACAAAATTTTAAACTGATGAATGTAAACTCCCGAGGTCCCCGTAAACTGCCATCGAATGATTTCAGGTTCGTGTCAATATCACATTGCACCTCATTGCCCCAACCACCCCGAGAAGGATCGGTTGAGCATGTCTGTGCATGACAGTCGCAGATCTATAGCTGAAACGGCTCAAACAAAAGCTAGTGACCGAAAATGGCACATTGACAAAGAAGTTCAGCTGTTAAGAGTTACTGAAATCCCCGGAGTGCCATCGCATTTTCTAAATACCGTTTTTGTGTGTTTGCTTTTAAAACTGATCTGAATGGGTCCTAATTGTTTTCTTGTCTTAACGTTAGATGACATCTTCTATATCATGTACTAAAATCAAATGATCTTGCAATGATTTATAGCAAAGGTTTACAGCGTTTGATATACGTAGGTAGGTAGTTAGGGTGATGACTGCATGAGTGGAATAAGTTTCTGCTTCGAGGAACAGATTGAATCGTGGTCATGGTGTGAGCTTGGTTGTAACGCATACGCCTTTCTTGACTTGACTTGACGGGTTCTGGCGTCCAAATCTTTCATGGATTGTCCTATATGCATTATTGATGAGCTTTAACATTCACGAAATACGAAACTGGTATTTTCCGAATGTACGATTGCGCATGAAAATGAATTATCAAGAATATTTACTTAAATTCGTATCACAGAACGGGTTATTTTCTACCGTACTTGCTTAGCGCAATGCGCTATAGGAGTTTTCCCATCACTAAATATATGTCATGGTATGAGTCAAAAACACGAGATATTTCAGTATATTTTGAACTAATACAAGATAACAATTCGTCCAAAACAGGATTCACATAAAAGCCACCAGAAATGTCAACTTATTATATACGGTATGAGTCCACCGACCAGCTGGTTTCACATCTACCGGCCTCTTAAAACGTTGCTCGACTTCCGTGGTTTATTATCGCAAACACCCCATTAATTTAACCTACTTAAAGGAACACATGCGCAAGTATTGTTTTTTGGATTAAAAAAGTTCAGTCTACCTAGGGATTTGAACTAAGGTGTTCTTTTACTTGCTTTTTACCGTACGGGCTGTGTCACACGTTTATTGATGCATCTGTGCTTGGATCGCGCCAACCAGCTCGTTCGATCGTTTGTCTCATCATCTGCGCGCACACACACACACACACACACCTCCCCTATGGACCCGGGTTCATCTCTCGGCCGTTCCGCGCTGACTGGTAGACGGATTAGTTTGAAAACACCGGGTAGGAATCGATCGTCCGGACTTCCCTTCCGATATCCAATTTGCATATCACGGTGTCTGAAAGCGGACTGTGTGGATTCGACAAGCTATGATCAATCTGCTTCTACAGGCCTCGGAGATTTTAGCCGATTCAAATCTTCCAACGTACGCCCGCACCCCACACGCATACACAAACTGATATAAAGTGATACACGCACACACACCTGAGTTCATCATTCGTACTGCTTGAATAATTAATTACCAAAGTCTTTGTCAAGCGCCACCAGCAACAGCCCTACTTATTTCGACCAATCGTATCAGAACAGATGGTATGTAATTAGCAACCTGATGATATATTTGACGAGTAAAAAATTGTATTAATACAAGGTATGAGCTCTTTTGTTATGAACACTTAATTGTTCACACATTGTATCTAAATCGAATCTTTCACGATGATGCGTTTTGACCAGAACGATCATGTGACCAGTAGGTGTGACAATCGACCCAAACAAAGGTACTCTGAACAATCTGTTCAAAATTCAAAAAGGAATATTGATCACGATCGTATGATGGCTAGACGGTGTATGGGAAATCTTTTGCTATTAGTACAAAACTGCAACTGATGTATGAGATTACACGTTTAAATCGATTTTCACAACCGCCAGATCAAATTACTCTCTCTCTTTCTGTCAGGGTAAAAATAAGTTTTCTCCCTAAATAGCTTTTCATCCACTTTCGACAAAGATACCTAGATTTCAAACCAGAGACATTCAACCGATGTGCCTCATAGACATTTTTCATCCGTATCTGTCATAAACCTGATAACGGGGTATAAACATTTATAATTAATCCAAAACCGTTTTGCTTGCAACTTTTTGGCTCAAGAGCTCTCTGACTTACACGCAGAACTAAACTGTATGATTTATCCGGTAGCGGAACAACCGATGAAGCCGACTGAATTATTCCGTGTACGGGGACGGCACATGCCACCTTCGGATGCATATTTCAGGTCGGTATCTCTTTGAAGAGAATGCTCACCTGATGCTTTCCATTTCACTTTTGTATTTATTCTAGTGAGGTTGAAAGCTTTTCTCAATCAGCAATAAGCTTCCCAATGCCCGATTCTACGCGCAAAGCGTTTTAACTAAATCTATTAATGGATCGTTATCGACGTCCTACTGCAGTGACCATGAAATAAACAGTACCTCCCTAA